CGGGGGACCCGGGGGAGGGGGGGCGGGAGCCGGGTCCCCCCAGCGCCGGGCGGGGCAGCCTCTCCGGGCTGCTGCCTTCTCCGGAGTGTCGGTGTCTGCCGCTTATTTTGTGCCTGCCAGAGGAGAGTTTCCTCCTTCAGAGCAATTTACATTTAATTCAATCTAGGCAAATTTCCTCTTGATTGGTGCTGAAGAAGGGAATTATTGTTGAGTGGGTTTTAGAGGCTTCAAATCCCATATACTTAATATGTTAACAGCTTGCTCTTAACTGGTCTTTTTGGGTTTGACTTTTTGACATGTGTTTGAAAGTAAAATATGTAGTGTCATTTGAGCAGGGTAAATATCCCAAAGCAGCAATTACAGCCCTGCCATTACAATTATACTGACCTCCTCAATTCCGAGATACACTTGGAGAAGCGGGATCTTTATTATTCGTTACTTCTTTATGGATATGTCTCACTTTTTTTTTTTTTTTTTTTTTTTTCCCGTACCGCACACGAAAACTCATATTCGTGCCTAATTATTAAATAGCGCTTTTAAAGACATATTTTTTTTTAGTTAGTTTTTATTTTTTGGGAAGTCATTCTTGTGCGTCTCAGAGATGGAGCCTTGCTAGTGCTGGAGTTACCCGCGATATAGATAGACATTAAAATCAATACCGATATATATACATATATATTTTTGTCCTGTCTCGAGCTTTGCCTTGTGCTCGCACCGCATCTTTTTAGCGATATTACAGATCTGCCGAGCAGCAAGTCACCCTGCTGGTGCACGGAGATTTTTTTTTTTTCCCCGAGGCAGAGAGATTTACAGACTCTGAGGGCGGTGAAAAATAACCTCTTGGCCGGTTTCTTTTTTCAGGGGGTACGGCGGGCCGCAGGCAGGGGAACCTCCCCGGGTCCGGACATCTCTTTGTCCCCGGCTCCGGTCCTCTCTCCAGGCTGGCGGCACGTACCGAGTCCCGGCAGACGGGGCCGGCGCGGGAAGGAGCGGGGCCGCCGGCCTCCCAGAGTTACAAACCGTCGGAGGAATTAAGGGCAAAAGTTTTGCCTGGAGTTGATTTCGTGTTCTGCCCGGGATTGCTGCTGTTCTCTTTTTCCCCGTAATCGGTTTTGTGTTTCATTCGCTCCTAAGCTATGTTCTTGATATTGCTCACTTGCATTATTATCATAACGTATCTCTACATGCACTCAAAATCCGAGTCACCGGCGAATTCATCTCGTCGTCAGGATTACTCCAATCCGATCCCAGAGGCGATTAGAGGGAGGTAAAATACCGCCTAAAGCCTAATCTTTAATTTCTTCCTCCTTAATAAAACGAATAATTCCATTGCGTTTTTAAGTAAAAAATGAATTGAAAAGGATAATAACTCCGCTAACCTTCTGTTGCGTGTATTAATCTTTTCCTGGAAGTGTTTTACCGGAGCCCCGCTGCCCTCGCAGGCTGCATCTCGCTCCCTCCGTGGGCTCTGAGCCTGCTCCCCACGGCCGGGGAAGGGGCGACACGGAGCAGCCGGGCTCCGGGGCGGTCTGCTGGGCGATCTTAACGGGGAGGGCCCCGGGAGATACAGAAAAATACTTCTGGCCGCGGCACCGGCCGACCCGACGGCGCCTGATCAGAGCTTGATGACTGCTGTTATTATTGTCATAATCATCATTATTGGTGCCACCACCGAGGTTCGCTGCAAAAGCCGGGGTTCGCTCTC